CAAATCTGTCAGTGGGTGGATTTTGCGTCTTAATAGTAATACCTGGCATTGGCAAAGTATGAAACAAGGGAGTGTAGCCGATGACACCTATGCCGCAGAATTGATTGCTGCGCACAAATGTACAAAAGAGGTTAAGTGGGCGCAAAAATTGTAGAAGGACCTCGGATTTTCGCAACAAACAACTGCAACATTGTACTGTGACAATCAAAGTACAATCAAGGAGGTCGAAAACAATGGAAATTCGCAAGAAATGAAACATTTGGCAAAGAAGACAAGGTCGATAGCTGAATGGATAGATCGTGGCCATATGAAAATGGAATATGTGCCGACCGCTGAGAATGTTGCAGATATTTTCACCAAGGCATTGGGACCTTGCGTTTTTGAGCGGTTGCGTGACCAATTGAATATCGAAAACGTGCAAGAAGCTTGGTTGTCCGAGGACATACTAGCTGTCACTGTGGCAACTGCACACAAGAATGAGAGATTAAGAATTGAATGCGCAAGCTATCGATGAATGAACAGAACTTATTGTTGCAAATCTATCCTACCGCGTGTTGGACACGACTTCATCGTATATTTGCTAGGTAGCCCGTGGGCAAACCTGTGGTCATTGCGATGATCATACAACTTGTTCAGCGAACTATTTTGCAAACTGTGGATCTACTAAAAGCTGGCTGCGGCCTCTTCCATGGTGATCTCATGAAACATAGATGTGTCAGAGTTGGGAATGTATACTACATATTTGGATTGTATCCATCGAAGTGGGAGTACGAGATTGACTGCAATATTGTCAAGTCGATTGGGATTATATGAAATCAGCGTTGTGGACCGAATTGAAGTGGGAGTAAGAGATTGACTGAGTCAATTAGAGTCAATCGGGTTTACCGCAACATACATGTGACTATATTTGGGAGCACTTGTTGAATGCTTTAGAATAGCGAAAGAGAGTTGAAGATGATAGAACTTCGAGAGAGATCGAGTCGCAACTTGAGGGTTGTGACTGATAGCTGTAGAGCCTATGTAGATCTCTTATGACTGCGGTCATGTAAGTAACTATCTGTCTACGGGGGTTTTACTGCTCGAGAAGCTTTCCCCTACAACTTAAACAACGAGAATCACCATCATTTTTACAACCAAATATCTTCATCGACTTCTTCTCTTCGTGATATCTACAAGTCTACTCAGGTTTGGACCAATAAACTAATCTACAACTGCGAAGTGTATACGAGCAGCAGCTACAGCTTCTCGTTGTTTCCCTGTACAACTAGTTTCACATTAAACCGCTCAATACTACCGTCAAACTGTACTTCAACGCTAGTTCCCAGTGCCACGGTAATGCCTTATATCCAATAGGAAACTTAGCGGGCTTCCGAGTTCCGTTTTCAAATAAGAATTGATACTCCAGATCAACAGTTTCTTGCCACTTGGCCCGCTTAGTCCATCTCTCAGACGTTTAGGAACTGAGATCCTTTTGACGATGCCATCCACTGCAATCGGCTTATCGATCTGTGTTTGAAAACACCTGTAGTCGCCATATCGCACCGTCTGATTACAATTGCGCTTTGGCCGTTCAACTATTTTGTCCAATGCAGCCGCTTTCCTGTAGAATCTGCACTTAGCTCCCACTGCAACTGACACCCGCCTTTTCGTACGATTGACTCCCACTATTTCCGACAACGCTGGTGTTCTGTTCTAATCTATAGGCACTTTCTGAATGCTGAATTCGTTGCATCGAACCCTACCCAGCGAGTCAAACTCATTCCATTCATCCGCTGTCAGTTTCTCGGGCTCAGTTCCGAATGACCGCGTTATGCTACTCGCACAATTCTCCGAATCGAATATAACCGATCTGGCTACAAAGCATTTGTTATTGTACAACGATACCCTTTTGTGTCCTCAGAGATTCCGAGAAACATACACTTAATCGCCCGTGCCGGCAGCCTTTTGTCCTTCCTGACAGCTTCAGGAATATATGCGAAGCACACGCGGCTCCAGACCTGCAACGTCTTTAGGGCAGGGCTCACACCTTTAGCCAACTCATAAGGTGTCTGGTTCTTCTACCAACTCAAAGGCGTGCAATTGTGCACATACGCCATATACTTTAGTGTCTCTGTCCACCGCTTGGCTGGTAAGTTTGCATCTCTTAGTGCACACCGTACCATATCCATCTTTGGCTGATGGTCTCTCTCAGCTGCTCCACTCTCTTTGGAGTGTTTGGATTTGAGGTCTGAAAGGTTACCCTCATATCTGTGCAGCATGTCTTGAGAACCGCGTTCACAAATTCCGTATAACCCAGGGGTCGAAAAAATATCAATGCAATTATGATGGTATTTATCAATACAAAAAATTATTATCGAAGCTTTCACCAAAAATACAATACAAAATATACTCAATAATTGTAATAAATAATAATCCCAGAAGGAAATCTGGCTAACCGGTTAAACAGACCGTAAACCGAGTCTAGTACTCTGATGGTTGGCCACAAGCACCACATATCTTTGCCATTCTGGCAAGCGCCGATTCGTCACTTTGTCATTCGACGTACAATGAACAGGAACATCACCGCTTACTTCTTCGAGGGTCTGGGCGACAGCCATTTTCGCTGTAAAAGCTGCGGTATGGCGCGGAAACAAGCATCTGGCACTGGATACAGTAACCTGATCGGTCATTTAGCAGCAAAACACGACGTCTACCATGCTGTGTACGACACTGCAACGGCTTCGCAATCACTAGGAACCCTTGGTTTCTTGTCTGAGACTACCAGTAGTCTATTCCAGTGGATGCGCTGGATTGTATCGCGAAATCTACCTCGACAACGAGCTGACGAGAGCCATATCTTGCTGGAAACCGATTTCGTCAAAGACGTTGAAAAAGCTGATGAAGTATGTGACTATCAAGGTGGGAAATGCGCTGGAAAACGAATTGGGGGGCATGTTTGGGCTTATCTTTGATTGGTGGTCACATGCCTCTCTCCACTATGTGGGTATATTTGCAGTCTATGAATGCAACGGCCAGCGTCGTCAACCCCTGCTTGGTGTATCACTGTTAGATAAAGGTTGGCAAGATGCAGATGCCTGCATTCGCCTGATCGCCAACGTTTTGAGTGTCTACAACAAGACTCCCGAGATGGTATGCTTCTTAGTTGCAGACAATTGTGTGACGAACCAATCTATTGCCACAAAACTCGCCGTCCCCCTTGTCGTATGTACCGGTCACAGGTTTAACCTGGCTGCCAAACAGTTCTACGCAGAGCATGAACCTATTCTCGACGGTGCCAATTCCCTAATAACCCAGTTACGCCATCCAAACAACTACTCAGAGCTACTGACCTTCGCCCAGTTAAGCGCAACGTGACCCGTTTGTCGACGACGTTTGCGATGGAGGAGCGTTATGTACGAATGCGAGACGAGATAAAAAAGTGGAAGCTGTGGAAGAGTTCATACCAACTGCAAGCAAACACCACAAACTAGTAAAGTTGTATGAAGATCTCAAGAAATTGAATAGTGTCTGCAAGCATTTAGATGACACTGACATGGCTCAGGTTCGATTGCTGTTCGATTCTGGGAAGGCTGAATATCCCGTCATGAGCGACTACCTCAAGGCCGGAGCGAAGATTGTCCACTCACCTGTCTTTGAATCCGCGATTGTCAAGACAATTAACGGTCAAGCTCTTACGAATGCCGAGACGAAGTCATTGGAGGCATTTAAGGTAACCAATCCGTCTATACCTAAGCTCAGATAACGCAATAACAACTATGCTACGGAGTTGTTAGTTGCCGGACCCAAGAAACAAAGGGTGGTTGACACGGAAGGTAAGTACAGCAAGCTGGTTGAACTCATCCCACCAAC